TGTCTCTCTCTGTCTCAAAAATAATGGTTAAAAATAATAATAATAAAAATTGAAAAAAAAAACGACAGATTTGTGGGGCGCCTGGGTGATCTCACGGTTCGTGGGTTTGAGCCCCGCGCGTGGCTCTGTGCTGACAGCTCAGAGACTGGAGCCTGCTTCGGATTCTGTGTCTCCCCCTCTCTCTTACCCCTCCCCTGCTCATGCTCTGTCTCTCTCTGTCTCTTGATAATAAATAAGCGTTAAAAAATTTTTTTTAAATAAATAAAAATAAAAACAGATTTGTGGTTCGACTGGCATCAAGAACACAGCCAATGAGACCACAAGTCTTAAACGAGTGTGACAAAATGGAAAGTTGCTCCCCAACACAGACTCACCCCCCATGATCTTCCTGATTTCTCTCCTTGACGTCAATTGGACTGGCATTTCTCCTTTTGTCGTAAGAATCTCTTTGTCAGCTCCTGATTTTAATAAGTAAGAGACCACCTGACCATGATTGCGTTTACACGCCCAGTGTAAACAGGTCCTGTCCGAAGAAAAGGAGAAAAGAGTTAAAAACAGAAGAGTTGAGGTGGGATTTCAAATTCCAGGTGCTAGTCAATAAATGTATGCAAGCCTGTTAAGAGCTCAGCTAGAACCAGGAAACCGGACAGGTAACCTCAACTTTTCTTTTCGGAAAGCAGATGATCAAAATATTTAGCATGCTTAAAGCTTATTTTTATTTTCATTTCTGACCCTTGGGAAAAACTAATTTATCCCAGGAGCTTTCATTTCGAGGAGTTCCAGGAGGCTGGCTGGTTAACTCTAATGGTATTGCTGAGAGGTCTTCTAGCACTAACGCTCGTTAGATTGTCCCAGTCTCTTTAAAATGTTTTTATGGTGTCACTTTTCCTTTTTAGGGACAGTGGAAACTTGCTTCGTATGCATCAAATGACACATGAAAATTAAATATTATCAGGGTAATAATCATCTACAGCTTGTTCTGCCACTGAAATTATTATTGCTACATAGACATTCCCAGCTGAATCTCAGTTGCTCATTCTTTTTCCTTTTCTTTCCTAGACACACACACACACACACACACACACACACACACACACACTTTAAATTTCCATTTTTAAAATACTTGGATCCTCTAGTTCTCTCCAGAAGGCTACAAACATACCCTCATCTGCTTAAATGTAAGGCACTGTGCACAGGCTTTAATTCCTAAGGCACTTGAAAAATGTACACCAACGACCGAAATTTTCAAGAACAAACTCTTCTAACATATTAGCCTCATTTAAGTAAAACTAATTATTTATTATTGTACACACAGGAAGGGATTATGCACACTCTGAAGGGCTATTATTTTAACACCACGTAGAAATATAATTAGCATGCTGGTAAAAACTCCATCTTAAACAGAAATGAAGGGATTCAGAGTTGCTAACTTCATCCCTGGTTGCCAAAGCTGAATGATATTGCGGAAGGAAAATCCTTTCTCCCCTCTGTTCTGAAACGTCCTCACCAATTCTCTAATTGAATGGAGAAAATTTCTTCAGAGCTGCCAGCCAAGTACAGATAAGATAAAGAACAGAACAATAATGTTCGGTAGTGAGGATTAAGTTAGGTCACTAACCTGCAAAGTACAACTATCCATAAAGTTCATTTGGTTCCGGGGAGAAGGTGATGTGCCCTGGCCTCCTCAACATTTCAGGCTTGCAGAAAGCTAGCTTGTCCGGCTGGCTGGGACTCCATCAATGTTTCAGAGGGATATTCCATACTATTATTGATTAGAATTAGATTATCCAGGTACCTTTAAGGTGTACTCTATAAAGAAAAGATTGCCAATTTGGGAAAAATAAGGGAAGAGGCGGCTTCTGCTTCTGAAATATGAGCTCATGGAGATAAGGAAGTGTCTGCTTGGACATACAGGTACTTAATTGCTCAACAAGGGAACCAAGAACAAGGTGGACACTGGTCCGGGCAGAAGGATCCAGTACATCCTTGATTGTGGGCAAACTGCAGCTGAGAGTGTTTGTCTGTGGATCTCTGTGGCATGGGCTTGAAAAGTGAATAATTATAATAAGTGAGCATTCAAAAATGAATGGAGCATGATGAGAAAAATATGTTCCCTTTTGGAAATAAAGTGCTCACTCGCTGGTAGTAAATCACTTGTTCATGACAAGCTTGAGACTGAAGAAGGTAATTTACTGCCAGTGGGTCTGAGACACTCTGGGAAAACCAACTAGCTAAAGCATCACCATGTAAAGTGGTGTTAAGGCAACACAGCACGATCCCCACAACCACGTGCCCTGAGTGGCCATCACTTACAGTCCAGACCTGTGTGGCTCTGGGCAGCCATAACTCAGAGCCATTGCAGCCAGGCAATATTTTCAGCTTTTTCATGAGCCATTATGCTTGTTGCTTAAAGCCAAGGGGTACGCACGACCTTTGAATTACAACTGATATGGGAACTCTATCTTTGAAATTTAACTCTTCAAGCTTTAAATTTGCAGTCAGAATATCTGGTTAGTCCTGGGAAGTATTTCAGACCGGAGGGGCTGGGTATCCTTCATCAGTGCTGAAATTGTGGTTACTGACCAACTACAAAGTGAAAGCAGTAACCATTTGGCTTTTCTTTTTTTTTTTTAATTTTTTTTTTCAACGTTTATTTATTTTTGGGACAGAGAGAGACAGAGCATGAACGGGGGAGGGGCAGAGAGAGAGGGAGACACAGAATCGGAAACAGGCTCCAGGCTCTGAGCCATCAGCCCAGAGCCTGACGCGGGGCTCGAACTCCCAGACCGCGAGATCGTGACCTGGCTGAAGTCGGACGCTTAACCGACTGCGCCACCCAGGCGCCCCCCATTTGGCTTTTCTATGCTAGAGATTAAGTGTTCGATGCCAGCATGCTGCTTAATAATAAGAAAATAATAGTTAACAAAGATATAGTGCTTTTTACATGGGGGATGCTGTTCTAAAGGCTTCATATATATTAACTGAGTCAATCTTCTGAACAACCCTTGAGTTAAGTGCTATTATCGACATTCCCTTCATTTTACAGAAGTGGAAACAGAAGCAGTCAGCAATAGGCAGAACAAACAGTATGCTTTGGTGATTAAATGTTACAGGGACAATAAAACAAGGGAAGGGACCAGGGAACGCCAGAGGCAGGGGAGGGGCATGGTGCCATTTTAAATCGAGGGCAAAGGAAAGCTCACCAAGGTGACATCTAAGCTAAGACCTGACAGAGGTGAGGGAGGAAAAGCATTTCAGACTTGGAAGAAAAAACATAAAGGCCTTGAATCAGGACTGTGCCTGGTATTTCAGGAAAAGGGAGGAGGCCAGGGGAGCAGAATGAGGGAAGTGAGGGGGCAAATCCGGGGATGAGGCCTTGAGGTAGAGAGGGAGGACGATGGGGACTGGAAGCAGAAATTCGAGGACCCTCTGAGCTTTTACTGAGAGTGTGATGGGGGCCATTAGAGGGTTTTGAGCAGAGTGAAATGATGCGACTTTTGACTTGTTTTAGGTCAGGATCCCTCTGCTGTGCTGAGAAACGACTACAGCGTATGAGGGAAGCAAGACTAGTGGGGGGTGGGGGGGGAGTGGTGGTGGTGGCTACAGCAAGAATCCGGGCACCAGAATGGCGGCTGTGTAACCAGAAGTGTTGAGGCAGAGTTAGTGAGAAGTGGTCAGATTCTGACTATAGCTGTAGGTGAAGCTTGGCAGAATTAGCCGACACACTGGATGTGGAATGTGAGGGAAAGACAGGAGGCAAGGAAGGCATCAAGGGTTCTGGGCTGAACATGTCAGACGCTGAGCTGAGGAGGACTCAGAGGAACAGGCTTGGGGCAGTCCGGGGGATGAGGGGAGATCAGGAAATCAAACTTGAACCTCCGACATGAGGTGCCTTAATAGACATCTTCCCCGATAAATCTATGGAGAAGCCTGTTCAGGTTGCTTCAGATTCAGCTTACATTTACTGAGC